CCTACCTGTTCCCCTTCCCCTTCCCCTCCCTTTCCTTTCCTTTCCTTTCATCTTTCTTCCTTCTTCCTTCTTCTTTCTTGGTTTTGTACCCAGTAGTGGGATTGCTGGGTACTGACCCATTTGTATGCCTTTTTTAAATATCACTTTCTGTTTGCTATTATTTTTTTAAATCACTAATAAGAGCAACTTAAACCTTGGTTTGCTGTTGAAATTCTTTATTTATTGTGCCTTGTTTTGTGCCTTTTCTTTATGAGTAGGTTTATTTGAGGGTGAGGGGAAAGAGAATATTTTATTTCGATGTGGCTTTATTTGTGCTATAGACCTTCTCAGCTTGGTGTGAAGTAGCTTTTTTTTTTGTAATTATGGTAATTTTTTAGAAATAGATTGCACAGAGATGTGTGTGGGGGGGAGAGAGATTATAGTTAAAGTCAAAAATGCTGTTGTTGGCTGGACTAATTTTCAGTTAGAAATTAAAATGGCTTACTTTTTAAAAATTTGTGTACAAGTTAACAGAGTAAGAAAACCAGACTAAGGTGAATAACATTAGCTTTTCACATTGACTTTATTTAAACAATTTTATCTTAGAAATGGTTCAGCTAACATTGGATAAGAAATGAGCAATCAATATTCAGCCTTCTCTATCACCTAGCTTTGACTTATTTTTAATATTTAAATTAAATAATTTTATTGTTGGTATTATTTCTAAAATAAAATTCTATTTCTCTCAGATCTGATGTATTAAACCGTAAATATACTTTTTATATTGCTAAATATTGAGGAGTTGGCTAGTCATGAAAACCATGATTTGAGTTAAACTCACTTTGCTTATCAGGGCTTCTTCATATTTATTTTCTTTACAGAAATACAGGTATCAGGATGAAGATACACCTCCTCAAGAGCATATTTCCCCACAAATCACGAATGAAGTGATAGGTCCAGAATTGGTTCATGTCTCAGAGAAGAACTTATCAGAGATTGAGAATGTCCATGGATTTGTTTCTCAGTCTCATATTTCACCAATAAAGGTAGGATAGTATCTATTTATTATTGTTACGAATTATATATTACTTTTGTTGTAGCTTATGCTCGGAGAGAAGTACTCTTTTATGTAGTACCTCCACCCACCCCCATTTTAGTTTCATAATTATGGAGACTTTCAAGGTACTTACTAGTACTCCAAAAAACATCTTAAAATATGTATTTTATAACTGAATGTTATTCAGTGATACTACCTTTAAGTCTAAAAATTCTCATGAAGGAAATAACTATTAAATTTTAAATACCACACACTGAAATATTTTCAAACACTTGTTTTTCAGTATTAGTTGGTAGGTATAGAAAAAGAGCATTCCTAGCACTTTGGAAGGCTGAGGCAGGTGGATCACTTGAGGTCGGGAGTTCAAGACAAGCCTGGCCAATATGGTGAAACCTCATCTCTACTAAAAATACAAAAAAATTAACCAGACATGGTGGCACATGCCTGTAGTCCCAGCTACTTGGGAGGCTGAGGCAGGATAATTGCTTGAGCCTGGGAGATGGAGGTTGCAATGAGCCGAGATTGTGCTACTGCACTCCAACCTGGGTAACAGGGCAAGACTCCATTTCGAAAAAGAAAAAGAGCATTAACATTATCTTTAAAGTCCAAATATGTCACTTTTCCTGATCCTGTCATCTCTCCCTTCAGAAGTAACTACAATCCTGAGTTTATTTACCCTTTCTTATTAAAATTCTACCATATATTTAGACTGCTAACCAATTGTTTTGCATATTTTGGATTTCATAATAAATGGACTCATACTGTATATCATCTTTAACTTGCACTTTTTACTCAATATTCCTCAGATTGATTAATTTCACTGCTTTAGAGTTTTCTATTTTATAAGTATACTACAATTTATTTTACTTTTGATGGATATGGATTTATTTTCAGGTTATTACTGGTATGAGAAATACTTCTAAAAACACAGGTTATATACACATCTTTGTGGATAGTGCCAGACTGTTTCTCAGTAGCTGTGTCATTTCCATTTTCAGCAGCAATATGTAACAGTTTTTAATTGATTTATATTCTCATTAATTGGTATTCTTGTTTTTGGCATTGTTTTGGTTTTGAAATGGTAACTGATTGTGATTTTCATGTGAAGTTTACTAGGAAGGTAGGATATATTTATTGGTCCTTTAGGTTTTCTTATCTGTTACGTGCCCATTTAAGATTTTTGCTTGTTTTTATATTGGGTCATTCTTTTTATTGATTTGTATTTCTTTATATATTCTAAATACTAATCCTTTGCTGGTTGTATGTATTTTGATTAAGGATCGTTTCTTACTAGTAAATTTACCTGGATTTTGTAATTCTTTTTGAGGGGTGATATCATACTACTGGTTAAAATTGTTAATGGTTATAGTACTATTCAGATTTTCTATCAGTTAATTTTGCTAGCTTATTTCTTTCTAATGATTTTTAAAATTTCAGATATATTTTCAAATTATTAGTTATGATATCCTGTTAGTACCTTTTAATGACTATACTATATGTAGGCATGGCCCCTATTTTATTCATAATATCGTTTATTTCAGACTCTTGGTTTTTATTCACCATTCTTGCCAAAAGTGTCAATTTAAAGATGATCTTTTCAAAGAATCATCTTTAAAAAAAAAAAAAAAGTTATCTGTGTCCCTGCCCTGTGTACCACCACCCTTACCCCTCTGTTCTTATACACACATACACATATATGTAGACACGTTTATGTACGTACATGCATATGCATATATGTAAATATAAATATACATGGAGGATAGCTGAATATCAATGAAAGATTGTGTTCAGTATAAGTAATCTGATCCTCACTTGCGGAACTAAAAGAGAGTTACAGAGAGTAAACAGCCAAAAAAAATCAGTTGGCTGTTTACCAGTTAGTGGCAGAAACAGTTCTTTTTCTTTTCTTCCTTTCTCTTTTTATCATTATTATTTTTTCTTTGTTGCTTTTTTTGAGTTTATTCTGTTTTCCTCCTTTTCTAGTTTCTCCAGTCAGTTGTTTATTGCAGTAATTACCAGTCTTCTTTTTTAATAGTATTTGTTTATAAATATTTCTTGAAACAGCATTTTTAACTGTATTCCACAAGTTTGAATATTAATGTCTTATTGTATTTTTTTAAATGTCCAATGTGATTTTTTTTTTTAGCCCCATGAGTTACTTAGAAGTGTGTTTGATTCTTAAACATTAGAGACTATTTCTTTCTTATTGTCTTTTTTGTTTTTATTTTTCTGAGGCAGGGTCTTGCCCTGTTGCCCAGGCTAGAGTGCATTGGCACTCATAGCTTACTGCAGCCTCAAACTCCTGGGCTCAGGTAATCCTTTCATCTCAGCCTCCCGAGTATCTGGGCCTATAGGCATATGCCACCATGCTTGGCTTTTTTTTGTTTGTTTTGGTAGAGACAGGGTCTTGCTATGTTGCCCAGGCTGGCCTTGATCTCCTGGTCTCAAGTGATCCCCTATCCTTGACCTCCCAAAGGGCTGAAATTGCAGGTGTGAGCCAGTGTACCTAGTTCATATCTTCTTTTGGATTGTATCTTCTCATCTCATTTTCCGTTATTACCAGCTTGGAAGTTAAAAATTGTTTCTCTTCCTTTAGTGGTTATTGTAGAAATTTTAATGAATGTTTAACTTACAAGTCTAAAGTCAATAAATGCCTTTTACTCTTATTCCAAACAACATAAGAACCTTAGAACACTTAAAGCTCAAGCACTCCCTCTTGTCACATGTGCTATTCTTGTCAGCCCATGCCTGTTTTTTTTTCTTGATTGAATTAATCTATTTTTTGTTGCTGTTGTTCAAAACCACCCCCAGGATATGTATACTTTTTTTATTTCTGATGTTTTGAATTTCTGATCATCCTTATTGTTACAAATCAACCAAAGCTAATTTGCACATGGCCAACTCTGGTCCTTTGGTAGATATGTTAGTAGTTTCTTTGGTATGTTTGCAGATTATGACGTAAGCAGGCATTTAAACAGACAATGAGCCAGCATGCATATTTTATGTAGCCTATTCTTTAAATCTGATGAAACCCTAGCTTTCTGTTGTTGCCTAAAATGCTCACTCTAAGCAGATAAGACAATGTTCCAGACACAAGATTTTGTTTACTCAGAAGAATCTCCAGACATCTTAGGGGTTAAACCTAAGGTGTTATGTCTAAGGGTTTAGGCCTCTCCAGAGTCTTCCCTTTCCTTTATGCGCGGGTGAATTGTGTCTCTAAATTAATTTAGCCAATTCACATAACTGGAATACTATGGATTACACCAGTGAAATCCGATTTTGCTGTTCAATAAGCCACTACTTCATCATTGAAAACCCACTTCATTATGATAATTGGTAAGACTTTTGGTGTAAATCAAAGATTAATAGGACAAAACCCTTTTAGCAGCCATCTCCATATATGATTCCTATAATTAAATGCTAGGTGATCAGTCTTGAGATGTGAATTGGAATGCAGACTGGCCTTTGGGAGGTTTACAAGTTCTCCAGGTGTTTCTAATCTGCGGGCACAATTGCAAAGCATTATGCCACCACTATTACTGCTACTGTAGTTGGAGTTTGAACTGTACTGCTCCACTTATATGCAGGTCAAACAAATGCGGATCAAATTTGTAGGATGCAAAACCCATGTATACAGAGGGCTGACTTCCTAAGTGCATAACTGACTTCAGGACTTCAGTATGTGAGGATTTGGCTATTCTCGGGCAGTCCTGGAACCAGTCCCTCATGAATGCAAAGCTTGAGGTATTTTCCTGCAGTACTGTGCTGTGTTGAGCTGTTAATATTTACAAGTAAATTTCTGACATTTGTTGAATCCTCACTCTAGAATGAGATTTAAATTTATAGTAATGAGAGAGAAAGCATTAATAGTTTAAGATTTTCACTGCTTTCTTAATCTGATTCATATATTCCTTAATTTCCTGACAATAAGAGTTGAAAAGTCAGTTTTTTGGTATCTGCTTTAGATTGCTCTTTTTCTTTATATACACTTGCTTTTTGTTTATTATTACGTGATAAAGGATTATGTCCCTCATAATAAAAGCTTTTTAAAGAAATATTTTATAGAGGCTTATTTAAGGACTATGTTATTAAAATTAAAATGTCCTTTATCAGTTATAAGATGTACCTTTTCCACACTTATCGTTTCTGAAATTGATATAATCTTACAGTTGCTGGTATTTTATCATTGCCTTAGCTGAGTGGCAATTATGTATAACCTTTGTTGACACATTTTGCTAAGATCAAGGAAGTACCAACATGCTTTCATGGGTCTTAGGGTACTACGGTAATAATTCATCTGGTCCCATGAGAAGCAGCTGAAAACCTGGCCATCTTTGTAGACCATTCTCTTGCTCTGCCTTGTTCATTTTGTTTTCTTTTGTTAAGTATTAACAGAATCAATCTCTGAAACAATTTATAATCCTCTGGGGCTCTTAAGTGAAACCACTAGTCCCCTTTCCCTCACTTTGGTTTGCTGGTTGTCTGATTCATATTTGCAAACTGAATAGATAAGGATTTTCTCTTCCTAGGAGAAAAAATTGTGTAAATTCTGTCTTACGTTTCTAAATCACACTTCAACATATTAATATATTTTTTCCTATTGTAAACTTATTAAACATTCTTGGGTGTCTATTTCCTGTATAATATCATGATGTTTCAAGTTTTTATAAATGTAAACTTTAAAAACATAAAACTTGATACATCATGTTACCTGTTATATTTGTACCATAATTTGACCGTGTCAACGCTCTGATATCTGTTATCTCCGTCTTCATTAGGTTTTGTAAAGAAAGCTGCAATTAGTAATCTTTGGACAGGAAACATATTTAGTTTATTTCATTTTGATGGATTACCAGAAGCCACATTACTGGGTCAAAAGAATATGAACATTTCTTAAGTTCTCGAAACTTTCTGACAGATTGTGATCTGATAGAATTGTAATTTAAGAATTATTAAGGCTGCTTAGTTTGGGGAATTTCTTCCTGCTTC